TTACTCACTCTTGTCACTTTTTCTTTATATTTGGGCTGAGAGGAAAGATTCTGGAGCTCAACTAAAAACCATGATTTCAAATGCTCAGTTTAAAGGCAATGGGGCTCTTTCTATATTGTTCTGTCATACTAGACTAAACTTTTCTACAATGAGGATTTATCATTATTTACACTATTTACATTAGGACTGTTGTCCTCATCTTTGTTATTATCATAATGCTTTTGCCGTTGTGCCTTTCAGCATTCATCAGGTGTATATTGATTCAGGTATCCTACAGGGAATTGCAAAGTGAACCCTTTATTTAATCTATGGGAGTAGAAGTTCTAATTCCACTGCCTATCTCTAGGGATATCTTGTTTAGTTCTTATTTTTAGTACTGCTCTGTTATTTATTGCTCACCCTATTTTCACTTTTAAGCTTTCTTACCATGTTATATAATGTCTGATCTTTGGCATTAAAGAAACAGATGAAGAATAATAATTATTGTTCCGTCACTTTTAATATTAGAGAAACTTTGAATTGTTTCCATTATGAATTGCTCCTTGCTCTTGGACATTCTGTAAGTTTGTTACAAGTCTTTTTAGGAGGTACAGTGGAGTAATGGATAGTGGCTCAGATTGAGGAATTGGAGAGCTGAGTTCGAATTCCATTCAGATCTATTACCCAGCTATGAGTAAATTGCAGGACAGACTGGGTTCTATAATGTTGGGTGGCAACCAGTGTAGGAAAACGAAAACTCTGAATTCAAAACTGGCCTTGAGAGGGTTGGGCTCCGTCAGGCCACCTTGCCCAAGTAACACCACTGCTACTGCAGTTGCAGTCCACATGATATCTCTACGATCATACAGGTCACAGAATTTAAAAAAAAAAAAAAAAATCTTTATCACAAGATTACAAGGAAGCATCCATTGAGGATAGAACTTGTTTGTTAACTATGTTCTATGACAGTTGCTCATTTTTAAATCTTTTGATTCCATATTCAGGTGAATGTGGGACAGATCCAAATAACTTTCTTTTTCTTTTCTTTTCTTTTTCTTTTTTCTTTTTTTTTTTTTTTTTTTACAATAACATTTTTTTATTTTATGCTGTTATATATCATTATCTTTCAGTCTTAATTCCTGTTCTTTTATTGTACCCTCTCCTTAAAGTTTTTTTTTTTTTTTTTTTTTTATTCTCTCACACTCAGTGACCCCTTTCATAGTAGTGGCTTTATTGCCTTGCTTGGTGTTAAATGATTAGAAAAAAATAAATAGAAAATCTAACTGGGAATGAGGACATAAGGAGTGATACCTACATTAAAATATTTTGGTTTTATATAAAATTTTCACCAATCAGCATTTTGTAGATTCTGTGCTCCAACCCCCCCTCCTCCCGAAACACCAAAGCAATAAAAAATTTAATGACATCTGAATCTTACTTTGAGGAAATTCCTCAGAATGTGTACAGTTTCTTAAAATATGATCTTTTTAGTTCTCTTCTAAATGGTTTATCTAAGATGATCTTGAAGTTTTCTGATCGTGCTCAGTACTCTGATGATAACTGGAACACTGCATTCTTCATCATAGTAAGAATGTTTGCTTGCCTCATAATCAGGCGTACAAAAGTTTTCTTTTTTTTTTTAAGACAAGACCTTCAAAAACATTTTAAAAAATTCAATCTTTTCCCCCTCTTTTTTTTCTTTTCCCTGAAATAATTAATTAAAAAAATAAAAAGCATAAAACTTGAAATATCAATTTCATATTGAACAATTTATAAATGGCTACTGTAATCAGTGAATAACTAATGGTTTCATTACAGATTTGCATCAGTATTGGCTTTAAAGGTAATGGTTTTGTTGCAGATTTGCATCGATACTGGCTTTATGTAATGAATGATTTATGTAATGTTTTTTCTGCAAAACTATCTTGAAAAGGCTTTTTTTTTCAAAACATGACTAATACAGCTGATGACCTATTTACCTGCTAACTCTTTAGATTAAAAAAAATCTTTTAGTGTTATTGAAAAGTTTGCAAATTTATTTTATCTTCCTCTGAAAGCCCTAACTTGTCAAGGGAGAAAAGAAATGAACACAGTTAATTTGTCAAAGTGATTGCTTACACTCCATATTGAGAATTATTTTAAATCAAAATCAAAGACCTAAGCATTAAAACAAATTATTAACAAATATTATTACTAGATTAGGCATAAATAGAAAATAAGTATTTTCAGTTGGGAGTTTAAAGGCAATTATCTTTATTTTCAAGACAGCAAAATGAATTCTAGTTAATCCTGTAATAATTCAAAGTTTTTACAAATTATGAAGTAGATTTTGTGATAAAATGTTTTTTAAAAATCATGAAATGCTATTGAAATAAATACTGTATATAATTGTGTAATGTGTAATCTTGTGTATCTTACGACCCCCAAATTTTCACTTATAAAAAATGACTTTATCATATATCATGTGAGTTCCTTTGAGAAACCAAATTACAATAGACTAACTGTTTTTTCCTTTATCCTATCTAATTAAAAATGTAAAAGAGAATGATAAAAGTATTGTTAGTAATGTTATACTTGTTGCATAAAAGTATACAATCATAAACAACCGAATGAGAAACGGCTAAAGATCTTATAAAAAATGGAAAAGATGCATGTTTGCTATGTTTGTATTTTATATGATACTAATATGTGAATATTATAGGCATTATTATTGGATACAGTTAAGTAAAGCATCAGTTTTATCAAAATTATGTTTATTTTAAATACAGATGTACTTTTTGACTACAGTAAATGGATACGTAGTTTGATCAACAACATAGCCAGGGCCAAAAGTACATACACTAATTTTATATCTCATGCATGATGCAACCCCCTTAAAATTAGCTTCAAAATTAGGTCTTCAATAGCTGCATGATATATGGGTCTATACAGTACTCATTATAATAACTAGTTTTAACATGTGAAAATTTCATGATTTTCCTATTTGAAATTTCTGATAAATCTTACCTAATTATTAACTTAAGAATTAAGCTCATGGCAAATTCTAGGACAATATCTGTAGAAATTCCCCTATTGCATTGTTAAATATTTGAGCTTAATATCTTGAAGAAAATATTGCAATAACAATCATAAATATGAATGCTAGTCATTATTTTAATAAGTGGGTACAAATGAAGATTTGGAATTGATAACTGAGACAGCCATTAAACACTTCTGTCTTCCTTTTCTTTCTTTCTTCCATTTTCTCACTGAAACCAAGTAGTGTATTTTCCTTGTTCCACGTGATCAAAATCGAATAATAGTCCATTCATTATGAGATATTGGCAGGGTATAGTGGTCAGGCGAACTAACAATGGGAGGGGCAGGTACAATTATAATAGAATAATAATAAGTAGTGTTAGTATTAAGTTTATACATTTCCTGGAAGAAGATGATAAACACATGAAAAGATTATCACCTCTACTCTCTTTCTCACTGAAACCAAATAGTACCTCTGTCTTTTTCATCTTTCCTCAAAATCAAAACTGAATAGTCTATTATTTATGAGGTATTGCAGGGTGTAATGTACAGGATGCAATGTGTAAATTGTCACCATTTCATATTTTTAATTTTGTGCATTGTTTGTTATTGATTTTGTTGACTGCATAGTATAGTACGGTCAGTTGGGCACCAACTGTAAGAAAAAGAGTACCATGATGCAATTCACTCTGCCAGAAATTTGGAAATGGCATGCTGTACTGCTTGGCATTCATGCTAGAAGCTTCAATGCAAACATTTCAGAGTGTTTGGATGTCAATCTGAGGACAGTGCAGAGGATTCAGAAAGAGTTGAAGGAGTCTAATGATGATTATGAAGGTGCTTGGTGTGATCATGATGTTATGCCTCCATTCATCTTCCTACAGGGCCTCAGACTCAACACTGAGGCCTACATCTAGTGCTTTGAGGAGGTATTGCTACCCTGGGTCAAGAGGGTGGCTGCTGGAAGACCCTATGTCTGGCACCAGGACTCTGCACCATGCCACACAAGCAGGGGAACCCAGTCATGGATGTCAGACAATTTCTGTGCCCATATCACCCCTTACATCTGGCCACCTACCTCTCCAGACTGTAACCCCCTGGGGCACAGTTGAGTGAGAGACCAACAAAGCTCCTTGTAAGATCAAAGTTGAACTGAAGGCAAGGATTATGGCAGCATTCACCAACTTAAACAAGGAGACTGTCCAGAAGATTTGTAGGAGATTCTTAAGTCATCTAGAGTGTTTGATGCCAATGGCTATTATTTTTTTTTTTTTTTAATTGAATAAATTTACTCTTAATATTTCAAGATACTTTTGTGTAATTTTGGTAAATGTATCTGTTAATAATACATGTCTTATTTTCATTTTTGCATAATTTAGATGACAATTTATCCATCGCACACTCTGTGCTAACAAGCAGAATTATAGTGTTAGATAGTAATAATACATAGTGATACCTAGGAAAATTTCAATTTTCCTATTTTAACTTTATTGATGTATCATATTTAATGAATAATCTCATTGCAAGTTCTGCAATGAAAAAAAATATCCCTATTATATCTAAATATTTGAGGTTAACAACTTTAACCAAATAATGTAGTAACAATCATAATTATGAATGCAGTGACCTTGAGAGGTTACAAATAAGATTTACAATAGTCAAGTTTTTTCCATTTCACTAAAACAGATGTTAAATTCATGAGTGTTATTGCCTCTCTTCTCTTTCTTTTTCTCACTGAAACCAAACAACCTTTCCGATATGTCTTTTTTTTTTCCTTGCAGTCTAAACAGAATAGTTCATTATTTATGAGGTATTAGCAGTGCATAATTTATATGCTAACTAACAAGCAGAATTATGATTTGTCAAAACCTTTCAGTTGTCTCAAGAAGAAACTACCAGTTAACGCCAAGGAAAATGAAAGAAAAATATGTCCATTCCAAAGGATTAGGAAAGCAAAGAGAAAAATTATCAGAAGCCTTTATTCCCAGTTCTTTACTGATCAGATTCACTAAGTAATCCATTTGTAGGTGATATCATTGATACTGTAAGTAATCCATTTGTAGGTGATACCATTGATAATGTGTTAACAGGTTTTGATTACTTCTTTTCTGCATAAGAGATATATCTTTTTTTTTTTTTTCTCTTTTTAAGTTCCCATGGTAAATTATATTTTTTGGATTGGCTAATTAAAATAACTTTATTAATAGCTACACTGAAACTTAAGACATGGGCTTGAAAAACCAAAGCTTTAGTTATGTTTTCAAGTCACTCAAATACAATCATGGAATTTTCCCTTGATTTAGTATCACATGACCATTGTATGTTCCATAACTGAAAAAAACTCAAAGCTTTGTTTTTTGTGAAGAGCCCACCCGTAAATACAAATCACCTTTTGTGCAGGTATAAAATCATAACTGCTTTTGGTTTTTATAACAATGTAAGTGATTGATCATTCATGAAATACATGTTATTTCTCTTGACAAGAGAACTAATATTAATGGTTGAAATGTTGCCCTTGAATCCAAAGACGAATTTAAAGAAACTTTTAGTATTTTACTTTTTTTCTTTTTTTTTTTCCCCTTCTTTCTCTTTACATATTTTCAAGTTACTAATGTTTTATCAGGAATCTTGAAATGCCAGTGAATATGAGGTTTTATAAATCACAAGCTGCCTGGAATCTTTGTTTACACAGCTACTTTGAGGAAGCATTCTCTTGGGAGTCTGTTTCTCAATCACTGCAATTGTAAAATGTTCAAGTCAAACTCAACTGTTATTTATCTTAATATCCTTGTAATCTGCACTTTTTACTTCCTCCTTTTAAATCCATGCAACAACCTCGTTCAGTAACCTACCCCAGGGAGTCTTGTATTGGTGTGAATGATGGCTGATGTAGGGACGTTCAGATCCAATAAGTAATAAGCCTGAGTTTAGCGTAAATAATTACAATACCTCATCTCAGAAATATAGACAGAAATTTAGTAAATGTTTATAAATTTATGAATAAAAAAAATTGTTTTCAAATTTATTTTTTATTAATAGGTTAATGATAAATATTGTATTGCATTATTTTTAATACAAATATATTAAGTTTTTAGAATGTTGTAAATTTAAAATTATTTTGTAAATTATCTAATAAATAGTATTTAATATTTTTTTTTTTTTTTTTTTTTTTTTTTTTGTAAATTCTCAAGGACAAAAATCCACATTTATCATGTTTTAGGTTTTATTACATTTCTAATCACTTTTTAAAACAACATTGCTAAGTGAAGGTAGTTACAATAATAGCAGTGTCAAGGGAAAAACCATCCCTTTGATACACCATTTTTTTTTTGTTTTTTTTATGCACAAAGGTTAAATATTGCCCAAACAGATATTCCAAAGTAAAATTGAAACAATGTTCACGAATAATTCTATTTTCTGGTACAGTAATTTTTATTTGGGGTCAAAACAAAAACTCTTATTCATCCTTTGAGTGTTCTCAACTTGTTATTCATACCAAAGCTGTTTGTAAATCTATCAGTAATCATTCACTTTTAATTCTATTCATAAGGTAATCAATTAACTTTGTCTAAAAGGTAGTTAACAACATTAGCTTTTCATAAAACTTAACATTGATCACTTGGATGATATATAAATATTTAAAAAGACTTATAATATAACTGGGTCAGACATTAATTTTCTTTAATGAGCTTCCTGATGACACAACTTACTCCTGCCTTGATAAGTAAGGCTTATCAATCTGACACGGTCAAAATGGCAGCTGATGTCCAAAACGACCTGTGGAACAATAGCTTAGCTGATTAAATCATTGATTCATGACTCCAAGGGAATTAAACAAGCAAGAATAAAATGAAATCGCCATAGACAAAGAGAGTGGAATTGGAATATGAATAAATCTATCATTGTAGATAAAATAAAGAACTCAGTTTAAAACTTAGATAGAAATTAAATATTTTCTTTTTATTTATCGAAAAGGAGATAAAACAGCTTGAAGTTAAGTAGCATTCACTTTTTTCTTTTTCAAAGTTCGATTTTTTAAAAGATCTTTTAATGTCTCTTTTTTCATTGTTTATTGATATATATAATATTTTTCTAATTAATTCGGGAAATAGGAGCAAAATTTGCTTAAACATAACGCAATTTTCTTAAAACTTCCAGTTAAATTACGATTATATAAATGACTTAATTCGAAATTATCTATTGACATTGAAACAATAGTAAACCAGTTTCGTATAAGTTTGGTTTAAGGGAGATAATTCTGCTCAAAGGGGAGTTAATTTAATGAAGATTTCTTTGATTTAATTAGATTTTAGTACACATTTTAAACTTAATAGTTTATTAAAATATATGCACTGACGGAAAATAAAGTTGCACCATATTGAAGGACGATGCCGATTTATATAATATATATATATAAAAATCTTAGGTGCTTGATAGAAAAAAAACCTACGGCATAATAGGTGTTAGAAGATAGCAGATATTGACAAAACTTCCAATGTCTTTGGCCACCATGTGTGGTAGCAAATCTCAAATGCACACAAAAGATAGAATACAACTGAAATTCTTCAAGTTCAAAAACAAAAAAGACATGCTTTTATTCAAAACTTGCTTGTAAAATTGTCAATGATCACTTAATTGTACTGATAGTTAACTGTTCATACAAAATTTGTTGGATGAAGTCACTGAAGCAAAATTGAAAGATTGAAATACAAATAAATTAAGTTGGATTGGAAATTTTAAAATATATATTTTTCTTATTAGTAACTTAATTTACCTCTGCCTTTACTTTATTTTTGTTTCTTTTAATTAGCCCCAAAGACTGCAAGTAGTAAATTCCAAAGTTTAGTAACACTAGGAAACCTTTGAAAGTAGCCAATCTGACAACCCTATACAGACATTGGTTTGACTAACAAATGCTCATTTGACTTTTGTGAAAAATTTGAACAAAAATTTCAAATCTCTAATGATGGTCTAAGTTTGCTCTACCATCAGTATGGTGTCATTTGTGTAGCATATGTTTTTAAGATTATGTTTCTTTTCTTAAGGGAACATGATCAGAACTTTGTGTAACAGAAAGCAAAATTGAAAAGTATTTTTTTTTAATTTAAATATAGTATTTTTTTTTGTTGGAAATATTTAAACATCATAATTTTAAAATCATTCAAAAATATATTTTTTGCTAAGAACATTTCTTCAAAAATATTTAGTGTAATTATTCTTTGACTGCATTGCACAAAAATTGTCCAATATTGACTAAAGAAGACATTTTTTATTTTAGTTTCTATGTGAAATACAAGTACAACATTGATTTTTCTGGATATTTGTTTTCAATTACTGCTGATCCAACTTCTGATTTTAATATTACAAATCCTGTGTTTTCATCTGTGGTAGGGTTTTCTTCCATGTTATAATGGAAGAGCTCTTTGATATATTCATTCCATCTCTGCAGAAATTTTGCTTTTTATCATAAATATTCCCTTTTTAGATTTTATGCATTGTGTCAAAAAGCACATTTTCTGTCCTATTTTAACCGTTTTTTGCATGTCTGTGATCTGCAGTTTTTCTATTTCTCTATAATTCTTATTGAGTTATTCCTTTTTTGCTTGCTTGCTCTGGCTTTTTATTTTTTTAAATTTAGCATTACATATTCTGTGCCATTTCTGGGTGTTAATTACTGACACTTCTTTCATTATTTCACTTGTCATCTATTTTTTTTCTTGCTTCTCTTGATACAAACTTTTGCTGTCGTCACTTTTGTTTTTCTTAAAGCGTTTCACTTTGAGTTCTTGATCGGTTCCAAAGTTTTATATTTATTCCTAATTGTAACTGCATGTGTTTGTTTACAAATTAAGTAGAATTGTTACTTTGGCTCATTCTATTATTGACTCATAAAACTACAGATGATTTTAGAAGTTTGAAAACAGATATAAACACTTTTACTTCATTAACATTGATATAATTACAGAGTCAAGTAAAACCTTTGCGGTTAGAGCTAAAAAAAAATAATTTAAAAAAACGTCTTTTATTTAAAAAAAAATATAGATAGTTGTATTTTTACACAAGTTAGAATTATTTTAAAATATGTTAGAATATTTGTAAAAGTTCATTTTCAGGTTTTATATATATATATATATATAAATAAAAAGAACAAACTAATTAATACTTATGGCAAATACAAATAAAATATATGAATTTTAAAATCCCTAGACATGGAATGTTAAATATTTATTCCCCCAAACGGATACATTTTCTTCTTTTTTTTTTTTTTTCCTCCTTTTTATTTGTATTATATGTATGACCAGATAATCGGCATAAAATTAAGTCCAGTACGAATGCGAACTTCACTGAACAATAAGCCTAATGAGCCCCATGACAGAACTCATCATCTGTATTCTGTTGAATAGAGAGTGCAGCAGAATCTGGCCAGCAATAGGACAAGAATAGTGTGGGTTCATTAAAGACACCGGAACAAGGAACATGATATTCATGCTCAGAATGTTATGAGAAAGTGCAATATAGATGCAGAAGGATGTGCACCTATGTTTCATGAACTACACAAGGGCCTTCAATAAAGTATGCCACAAGGATCTGATGGAACTGCTCAGCAACCTTGATATATTCAGGAAATATATCAGACTAATCTAGAACCTATACTGGCAGCAAACAGCATGCATATGCATAGGGAACGAGTTCAGTGAATATACAAAAATAGAAAGGGGTGTAAGGCAAGGATGCATCTTCTCACTTGACCTGTTTAACCTATACAGCGAGGTAATTTTGAGAGAATTGGAAACCCTATCAGGATTTAGCATTGGCGGCCACAATCTTAACAACATAAAATATGCAGATGACATAGTACTGATAGCAGACACAGAAAAAAAATTACAAAATTTCCTACAGAAGGTAGCGATAAAGATTGAGAAAGGATTAAGCATAAACTACAAGAAAATGGAATGCATGGTCATCAGTAAGAGGATGAGCCTGAAATGCAATTTGCAGGTTGTGAACGCTAGAATCAAGCAGACACGGAAGTTTAAATATCTA